CTTCAGTTTTGGGTGGAGTTAGGTAAATTTGAAACCTTGTGTAATACAAGCATGTGCTGTTGAGGATATTTCACAGCTGAAGGAGAACGATAAGCTGCGTGCTAGGTCCTTTAGTTTAATCTATTTGCTTTGAAAATTCAGTGAAATAAATCTTACAACCACATCAACAGGAGAGTAACGCCCCATGTGATCAGCTTTACTAGGAGTTTCTAGAGCTCTCTGTACAGTCTGTCAACTTTTCTTTCTTTAAACCACAGTTCTGGTTTATCGCAATCACTGATTTTCATTAAGGGGAATGCCAGTTTTTTCATTTTATGGGGAATCTGATATGTCTGCACTGGTCAGGCTAACTTTAATATTTATTTTATATTTCATTTATTTTTGTGTGTGGGTCCTCTCTCGGGCACACATGTCGTGGTCAGAGGACATAGGTGCTGATTCTCTTCTTGTGCCTTGCTGGCTCCAGGAGCTGAACTCAGTGGTCAGCCTGGTAGCCAGTGCCTTTATCCCCCCATTCACTTCTCTAGCCCCGTTCATGTTTATATAAGGTGAGTTGTAATTGGATCTAGGCCTGCGTCTTTCCTCGTGGGACTAGTGGGATTCCCATTCAGTGGCAGGGTGCCTGGAGCCTTTAGCCTTGACCCCCCCCCCCTTTCCTTTTGCTTCTTTTCTTCCTTTCTTTGATTTTATTTATTTTTGAGATAGGGTCTCACCTTGTAAGCCTGGTGGCCTGGAGCTCACAGAGATCACTTGTTTCTGCCTCTCAAATTCTGAGCTTAAAGGAGTGAGTGAATGGCTTTTTGTTTTGAGGCTGGATCTCTTGAGCTAGGCTGGCTTTACTGACAGAGTAGCAGTATTATAAACAGGTACCGTCATGCTCCACAAACTCTTTCCAGTTGGAAATTGCAAAGCAACTTCTATTACAGATAAAATAGTTTTTTATTATTTATCTATTTATTTATTTTTTGTTTTTTTTAAGACAGGGGTTCTCTGTAGCTTTGGAGCCTGTCCTGGAACTAGCTCTTGTACACCAGTCTGGCCTCAAACTCAAGAGATTCGCCTGCCTCTGCCTCCCAAGTGCTGGGATTAAAGGTATGTACCACCATTGCCTGGCTAAAATAGTTTTTTAATTGAACGGCTTTTTATTGTAAAATGTAAGTATGATTAAGGGGTAAATAGTTTTTTTTAAAAAAAGTTTCTCTTTTGACTTGGTAGTCTTAGCTTGTATCAAAAAAGATGAAAGATTTTCCTGTGATTTCACTTTAGTAGGAAAGGAAGTGTCTGTGTCACAGGAAGGAGTAGAGTAGTCACTGGACAAACTTTTAAATTTTTTTTCTTTCTTTTTTAAAATGTAAACCAGCCTACTGGTGGTGGTGTTGCACACACACCTTTAAAACCGGGAGGCAGAGGCAGGTGGATCTCTGTGAGTTCAAGGTCAGCCTAGTCTACTAGAGCGAGTTCCAGGACAGGCTCCAAAGCTACAGAGAAACCCTGTCCTGAAATAAATAAATAAATAAACGAATAAATAAAAATTGTAAGTCAGCTTACTATTTTTCTCTTGGCCTTATATATTAAGTACTGCTATAAATAAATGTGGGTATTTATAAATGATCTTTTTTTTTTTTTTTTGAGAAAGGGTTTCACTATGAAACAAAACTCTGGCTGGCCTCGAACTCAGAGAGATCGGTCTCCCTCCGCTTCCTGGGATGAAAGGCGTGGGCTTCCTTGTCCAGACTGATCATTGGTCTTTTTAAGGAAGGCACATGATCTTCCTTTAAAAAGGAACTTATCCTTAAGCATATATGTGCAGATAAATGTAATAAAAGTTAAAAAGGCTGTTTTTTTTTTTTTTGATGATTTTAAATGAGAGAATTGATTTTTAAGGCTGGGCAGAAAGTGAGGGAAACTGCGATGGAGGCATCCTCTCGTATGCAGAGTACCGAGCAGCTCCCGCTCTGGGCAGGTGGGGCATTTGCTTTTGCCCTCCAGAGTGTGTGTGGGGGTCAGGTGATAGGACAAGTGATTGCGGTTTGAAGAACATTTCTATCAACCAAAAAAGAGGCATGAAGTTACAGGGTGGTATTTATTACATTAGTTATACAACCCGGAGAGGCGAGCCTGCCGCCACAGCCGTCTTGGGTTTCAGGTGGTGGTATACTGTCCTTTGTGCTTGCTTTGCCTTTTTAGCTTAGCATCAGGCTTGATGAAAGGTGAGCCATTGACGACTAAGCTTGAAATCTGCAAAACGCCCAACTGTTTCTCCTTGTGTGTGTTCTTTTACTGTTCCCAAGAGAAGAGGGTGAACTATGTGTGTGTGGGGGGTGGGGGGGGGGGGGGAACAGGGAGCTGGCATGGCTGGTTCCTGAGAGGCAGGACCTTCTTGGTTCCTGAGGGATGTGTATATGTGTTGCAGACAGGACACAGTTTTTTCTGACGCTGTCGGACCTTAGGTGTGCTTGAGTTTAGTATACAGGGAAGCATGGGGAATGTGGGGGCATCAGGCTGTCTGTGTCTAGATGATCTAGCCCTGTGAAGTGTGAGAGGCAGGACCTTAGGTATAACAGGAGAAGGTAATGATGGGTAGATTTGGTTCTTAAGAAGACACCTAAGAACACCTGCCACAGCACTTCTGAGCACCTGCCAATCCACAAGTTTGGTTTCTATGGTGACCTTTTTCACATTTCTTATCATTTTCTGTCCTGGGCCTGTCACCCAGTGAATAATTGAATTATCTCTTGCTGTTGTTTTGAACTGATTGCTCTCTGATGGGCAGTGTGCAAACTGTGATGTCTTTTGATTACATCATTATAAAGAAAGGATGAGACACAAATCTCATGTTCCTGTGAAGAAAGCCTAGAGATACTATAGACCTTGCTACCACTGGGGTGACTGCAGCCTGAGCCCCAGCTTTTATATATTTTAAAGATCCACCTTTCAGCTGTAGTGCTGAGTGAAAGGGGGGTGGGTCATGATTCTGGGCCCCCCTGGTTTGTTTTCATTTTTGTGGTCCTGGGTGGGTATCGTCCCTAACATGCTACCACTGAACCCTAGCCTGATTCCATGTACTGAGTTTAAAGAAAATGGAGACCTAAAACATTGAGCCGCTTGGTTAGAGCACCTTTATTATGGGTGTTCAGTTCCCAGCAGCAGTGTGGTGCTGGGGGACAGAGGTGGGGTGACATCAGGGCTGTTCTCAAGTTAGTGGATCCTTTTATATGGCCGTAATAGCTGGCAGATTTGTTTTTCATGTCCTCAAATTTGCAGTGGGAGACAGACAGACAGATACCATGTAGAGTATAGAGTTTATATAGTGAGTATTGGGAAGGGTGTAAGAGCAAGGGGTTATAGAGGGCACAGGAGAAGGGGGAGGGAGAGGCAGAGACTGCCTCTTCAGAAGAAGGACAGAGAGGTGGGGGGGATGGAGGGAGAGAGATGAAGTGAAGGCCCGTGATCTGCCTGCCTTGGCGGGAGGGGGAAATTGAAGTGGGCGGGGCCTGTCTCTTAGGTGCCGATTACAACAGCAGCTGTGTGTGTAACTGGGGTGGTTATGTTTCTGCATCCCCTAAACTTGTACTTGTCTCTTCCTCAGCAGAGGATTTCCTCAGAGTCTTAGTAGTGGCGTTTAGATCTGTCCCTGGAGTAGGAAGATGCTGAGAGTCTTTGAGTTGTGGCATATCTGAGGCTAGGGTTTCCTAGGTAACTGCCCTCATCTGTGTTGCATTTTACCTTCATCCTGAGACTGTTGCTCTCATCGGGTGTGCATGACCTTTTACAGATTGTATAAGGAAAAAGGTAAATACTTCAATAAAATGTGCAGTCCAGTAGGGCAGATTTAAAAGAGGGCAGCATAGTGAGCCCTGAAGAGTGGAGCATCAGGATGTAAACCTCAAGTTCTCTAGGCCAGTCGATTGTCCATTGCGGGCTCCCAGCCTCGGCCTGATCCCCTTCTACGCTAACTACTTCTCCTTTCTCCTTTCTGTTTTTCCTTCTTTTCTTGGCAGCTTACTGCTGGTGGTGGGGCCAAGTCCAAAGAATCTGTTGCTTCCTGGGGGTCCAGAGCTAGTGAGTGGCAGAGCTGAGCTTAAACATTCTGTTACAAATCTTGCTTTGGCCCCCTGTGTGTGGCTTGTTCATTCCTTGGCATTTATGGTGCAAAGATGAGTGCCACCAAGCCTGTACTCAGATGACATATGACAGGAGGCGAGTGTGCACGCAGTGGGTGTTCCAGAAAGTAACAGAGCCCCGCGGTGGAGCTGCCAGTTCAGAGATGGCGATGCCTCTGTGGCCACTCTTTTTCATCTGCCAGTGGTGTCTTCTGAAGAGAGAGCACAGCAGGCTTGCGTTGGCATCGCTGCCGACTCTGTATGGCTTGATTTACCCCTCTCCCAGAACTCCCTGTCTTACCCCAGAACATCCCCTTTTCAACACAGCAGAGAAAGCTAGAATTAAAAATGGATGGGATTACTTCCTTAGAGACTAAGAAGAAAAGAAATCCCAGATGAATTTAGTGACCCCCTGTGGTAGATTTAGATGGCCTTTTTATTTTTCTGTGGATGAATTTTGAAGTCTGTAGTTGTTTTTATTGTAATCTTCGGTTAATGTTGCATCCCAAAGCTGATGGTGACTGAAGTTATCAAATTGTGCTTGTAGAGTTAAATGTTATCAAGATGAAAATATCTGGAGGAATAGCTTTTTATGAGAACTGATGGGTCTGGTGGTAAATAGCTTTTTTGGGTGTTAACACTAAATAGATTTTCTGTGCTTTGCCAGGGCCACTCTAAAGCTCTGCTGGTGACCCTGTGCATACCCTTTGAGGCTGTAATTGTGTTGGGTTATACTTTCTGGCTATCATTTTGACTCCGGTTTCTACACAAAGTAGGATTGTTGCCTTGCACACTTTCTCGATAATCAGCACTGTGTTAGTGTTGTGACCTGTTCAGAAGACTGACTTTATTATCAGTGTTAATTTCTGATGGAATTCTTTTCCCTTCCTTTAACAGAACATCTGATCAAATTCATGACCATGGGGGATATGAAGACCCCGGACTTTGATGACCTCTTGGCAGCATTTGATATACCAGATATGGTCGATCCCAAAGCAGCGATTGAATCTGGCCATGATGACCACGAAAGCCACATTAAGCAGAATGCTCATGTGGATGATGACTCTCACACTCCTTCATCCTCGGATGTTGGCGTCAGTGTGATTGTGAAGAATGTTCGAAACATCGACTCCTCTGAGGGAGTTGAAAAAGACGGCCACAATTCCACAGGCAATGGCTTGCATAACGGGTTTCTCACAGCATCTTCTCTTGACAGCTATGGTAAGGATGGATCAAAGTCCTTAAAAGGAGACGCACCTACCTCAGAGGTGACTCTTAAAGACCCAGCCTTCAGCCAGTTCAGCCCTATCTCCAGCGCTGAAGAGTTTGATGATGATGAAAAGATAGAGGTGGACGACCCTCCTGATAAGGAAGATACACGGTCCAGTTTCAGATCAAATGTGTTGACGGGCTCAGCTTCCCAGCAGGACTACGATAAGCTTAAGTCCCTTGGAGGGGAAAACGCCAGCAAGACTGGGGTCTCTACATCAGGCCATGTAGAGAAAAACAAAGTCAAGAGAGAGGCAGAAACAAACTCCATAGCCCTGAGTGTTTATGAGCCCTTTAAGAGAAAAGCAGAGGATAAGTTGAAGGAGAACTCTGAGAAGATGCTTGAGAACAGGGTGCTTGACGGGAAGCTGGGCTCTGAGAAGAATGATTCCGGCCTTGCTGCTGTCACATCTTCCAAAGCGAAGTCATCGTCCAAGCTCTCTTCGTGCATAGCTGCCATCGCAGCACTGAGTGCTAAAAAGGCAGCTTCAGATTCCTGCAAAGAACCTGTGGCCAACTCAAGGGAAGCTTCTCCATTACCAAAGGAAGTGAATGACAGTCCCAAGCCCGCCGACAAGTCTCCGGAGTCCCAGAATCTCATTGATGGCACCAAGAAAGCCTCCCTGAAGCCATCGGACAGTCCTAGGAGTGTATCCAGTGAGAACAGCAGCAAAGGCTCCCCGTCCTCTCCTGTGGGGTCCACCCCCGCAATCCCCAAAGTCCGTATCAAAACCATTAAGACATCTTCTGGGGAGATCAAGAGAACAGTGACCAGAGTGTTGCCAGAAGTGGATCTGGACGCTGGGAAGAAGCCTTCTGAGCAGGCAGCATCCGTGATGGCGTCTGTGACGTCGCTTCTCTCATCTTCAGCGTCAGCCGCTGTCCTTTCCTCTCCCCCCAGGGCACCTCTGCAGACGGCCATGGTTACCAGTGCAGTTTCCCCAGCGGAGCTGACCCCCAAACAGGTCACCATCAAGCCCGTGGCTACTGCTTTCCTTCCTGTGTCTGCTGTCAAGACGGCAGGGTCTCAAGTCATCAATCTGAAGCTCGCTAACAACACGACAGTGAAAGCCACAGTCATATCTGCTGCCTCTGTTCAGAGTGCCAGCAGCGCCATCATCAAAGCTGCCAATGCCATCCAGCAGCAAACCGTTGTGGTGCCAGCATCCAGCCTGGCCAATGCCAAACTCGTGCCAAAGACTGTGCACCTTGCCAACCTTAACCTTCTGCCTCAGGGTGCCCAGGCCACCTCTGAACTCCGCCAAGTGCTAACCAAACCTCAGCAACAAATAAAGCAGGCAATAATCAATGCAGCGGCCTCCCAGCCACCTAAAAAAGTGTCCCGAGTCCAGGTGGTGTCAACCTTGCAGAGTTCTGTGGTGGAAGCCTTCAACAAGGTGCTGAGCAGCGTCAATCCAGTCCCTGTTTACATCCCGAACCTCAGTCCTCCCGCCAATGCAGGGATCACGTTACCGATGCGTGGGTATAAGTGCTTGGAGTGCGGGGACTCCTTCGCCCTGGAAAAGAGCCTGAGCCAGCACTATGACAGGCGTAGTGTGCGCATCGAAGTAACGTGCAACCACTGTACAAAGAACCTTGTTTTTTACAACAAGTGCAGCCTCCTTTCCCATGCTCGAGGGCATAAGGAGAAAGGCGTGGTGATGCAGTGCTCCCACTTAATCCTAAAACCGGTCCCAGCAGACCAGATGATAGTGTCTCCGGCTAGCAATACTACCACTTCCACTCTGCAGAGCTCCGGGGGAGCTGGCACACACACTGTAACCAAAATCCAGTCTGGCATCACCGGGGCCGTTATCTCTGCGCCTCCAAGCACACCCATCAGCCCAGCCATGCCCCTAGATGAAGATCCCTCCAAGCTCTGTAGACACAGTCTCAAATGTTTGGAGTGCAATGAAGTCTTCCAGGACGAGACGGCTCTGGCTACGCACTTCCAGCATGCTGCAGATACAAGTGGACAAGTAGAGTATCATTTAAATCTGGGTGTTTCGGTGATGAGTCTGTAGCCACGAGTGCTCCATCAGATACTGTGAATTAGGGTGGCAGCACAGTTATGTGGAGGAGTGTGTGCATGTGCGTGCGTGTGTGTGTGTGTGTGTGTGTGTGTGTGTGTGTGTGTGTGTAAGCACGGGGAAGGCAGAAGATTGTTTTCATAGTATAGGTACAGTGTTGAAATACATGGGGACTTCCTTTAGCCAGGTATGAAGTGTATGCTCTGGTTGAATTATTATGTTAGGAATTATCCAGGCATTGGAATATATAGTGGAAGTCTGAGATTTAGCTATAACTTTAGAGCATCATCCCATCATAGTGTCTAGTTTGGATTACATTGGCACAGTATGAAGTTTTACTCATGGTTTCAGAGTTTTGACAATTACTGGTATGTCTAACACTGAAGTGACTTATAAACACACCTGTTAGGCACTTACTTTAAGGCATATCTACTTAGTTAGGATCTGTGGTTCAACAGTATGATCAGTAACGTTCATGGCAAGCCATGTGGCACAGTAAATCTTTGTGTCTTTGCATCTTTTTTGAGGTGAAGTACAGGTTGCCGTTGGTGAAATACATTTTATCATTTGCATCTACTTACTGTCTTTTTCATTTACTTTCTCCATGAAGCAACACTTGCCTGATGTAGAGCTTGTGTAACAAGCATTCCTAAAATGCTGAGTGAAATAATTCCCAAGTAGAGAGAACATGGTACATGTATGTCGTTCAGTGAGAAAAGTTGTGTGATTCAAAAGGGAGGGGGCTAGGTTGAGCTCCTGTCCGAGGCATCTCAGAAGGTCCAGTGGTAGGTGACCGTCCCTTCATTTCCCCAGGAGTATGTTCCCTAGGAGCTCTGGACTGTGGTCTGAGACCTGGTACTGTCAGCTGCTGGCTTAAACTATTTGTAGGGTTTGGGGAAAGAAAAGATATTAATAATACCTGTTTTGTTCTTGTTTTATATATTTTTCATCTGTGTTTTATGCCTAGCTGAAGTGGAAGCAATGAGTCTTGACCATATTTCTGTAGGCTTGGGAGTTTCAAGTACCCCGAAGAGTATGCCACACCAGTTCTGGCTCTCAGAGCACGGTGATGATGGTTGGGTTCTGTCCGTGCACCCCCTTATCTTGTCACCGGTTCCCACCAAGGGCAGTCTTCCTCTTCATCATGAAAATAAAAACCCCAAAGCCATTTCCTGAGTGGTTTGTGCTGTTGTGTGCCAGTGGACAGTGGTACGGTGGGCTGGGTCCTGGTCCAGAATTTGCACACCGTCATGGTCGTGGGTTCTTAGTTCGGAGCTGCCATTAGTTAGGTCATTTCTGTGGGACCTGGAAGGGTATGGGTAGAGTGGCACCCTGTGCTCCCCAGCTTTTGTTTTCAGATAGGGTCAAACAGCGGTGAAGCNGGGGGGGGGGGGGGGGGGGGGGGGGGGGGGGGGGGGGGGGGGGATGAATGACTCTTGTTGCTTGCTCATCATTTTCTCATATTTTGCTGGAACAAGTAAAACCTGCAGATCACGTACATCACCTGGAGTCCAAGGGAATGAGTCATGGCAGATGTACATTAAGGAAAACACACACACCCTTTCTCCAGTTAGCCTAGGTCACCCACCCAGCTCCCCCAAGAAGTGTTATTTAGTAAGCCTTTGCTCGCTGTGTAGCCAGGGCTGTGTCAGTGCTGCCCGGTGTTGTATTCTCCTCTCGGCACTCACTTCCTTGTCTCTCGTTGCAACCATGGTCCAGAAGACCTCGTGTACAGTCTCCTGTGATGCGCAGACAGCTGGCTCACCTCGTCAGCAGCTGCTGCCCTGGCTAGTCTAGCTCTGTGTGGAATGGCTCTTCTCCCATCTATTTGGAGCCACTTTAAGACTTTTCTAAAGCTGGAAAAGCACCATAGCATCTGATGCATTGGGGGCTTGGGTGGCCCCTCCTCCATTGCTGACGTAGCAGCAGAAGGCAGGGCTGCAGTGTTTGCGAAGGGATGGCAGTTTTTATCCATCTTTTAGCTTGACAGCCACATCAGTTTTAGTCTCAGTTCAGGAAATGCCTACCTGGTGGAAAAGTATCCTCTTTGAGAATGGCACGCACATTTCTTTCTTACTTAAGATGTGGAGGGTGAGCCAGGGTACCTGCAGTACCAAAGGCTTTCCCAAGCCTGTCTCCTGTTCTCTGCTATGTCCACGGATTCAAAACCGAATTTATTTTCTATTTTCCCATCAATCTCCTCACTCTTGGTTACTCATTGGTGGATTGAGAAACAGTGTTTCTTCGTTCTTAACAGTTATAAAAGCTTCTTTGTTCTCATGCCCTAACATGCTCCGGAGCAGGTTCCAGTTCCGTCAGAGTGACTTTGAGATGGGCTCCATTGTTGGGTCTTCTTCTGCATGTTAGTCTTAGTTAAAAACTCATCCCTAGTAGATTCCTGGAGTGACCCTGCTGGCTCTGTTAGATTCAGAAGGTTTGAAAGTGTCCTGGGGGCCCTCGACCAACAGGTGCCTTACACTTCGGGCATTGCCTTTCAGTTCAGGTTCGCTGGGTCTGGAGAAGGGGGTCACTGTTTCATTGGTAGCAAGGTCTAATTCTCTTATTATTTGGAGATAACTGTAGATTCATGTAAGAAATATGAGAAGTTCTCTGCGTACCCTTCATTCAGTTCCCTGATGGTAGCAGTCCACAAAAATGAAGAATGATTATTGCTGTCAAGGCACTGACATCAGTGTGGTCAGGCGGCACAGTAATTCCACCCTCATGAGAATAGCTCCCACTGCTACCCCTCTGTGTCCCAACCCCTGGCAACTGCTGCCTGTTTGGATTTCTATAATTTTGCCAATTCTCGGACATTAAAATAAGGAAACCATGCAGTGTGTAAGTGGATTAGCCTGTCTCACTCAGTACAGTTCCCTGGAAATGCACCTAGGTTGTTGCCTGTATCAGTAGTCAGATGCTCTCTGACTGAGGGTTCACAGTAAACCCATCATAAGTTGGAATTATAAGAAGATGCGTGAGACAAGATCAGATACCCTAGCTTCGAAACACAGCACGCTGTGGTGTGTGTTAGTTGTTTGCCTTTAGATCGTGTGGCTCCGAGGCTGACTGCCCAGCACTGAACAGAGTGTAGCCCACACCTGGGTAAGGTCAGGATCCAGGATTCCAAGTGTGCTTTTACTGGCTGTATCACGTCAATATTCTGAGCCAATCACAGCTAGTTTGGGATCCTCTGTGGCCCATTCTGTTTCATTGCTGTGTAGTAGTGTAAGCGTATGGTTGTACCATAGTTCTGGGTTTTTTGTTTTTGTTTTTTTTTTAATTTTTAAAATTTTAAATTTTTTAAATTAAAACGTTGGGTTGATGAGGTGGCTTAGCAGTTAAGAGGACTTGCTGCCTTGCATAGGATCCTGGCTTGTTTCTCACCCATACAGCAACTCACACCTACTAAACTCTAGTTCCAGGCCATATGGTGCCCTCTTCTGACCTCTGAGTACTGCACACACATGGTGCGCATACATGCATGCTGAACACTCATACACATTAAGATTAAATATTTAAAAATGTGTTTGTGCTCATGTACACCCGTACCTGTGTTCATGCACGTGTGTGTGCCTTCAAGGGGTTGGCAGCTGGTATTTCCTTATTGCTCTCCACCTTACTAGAGTGCTTCATGTACACATGCATGTATGTCCTCTGTGCATGTCCGGTGCCTATGTGGGTGCTGGGGATTGAAACTAGGGCCACTGCAAGAGCAGCAAGTGCTCTTAAGAGCTGAGCCGTTTCCCCAGGCCCCCCTCCACCTTCTACCTCATTGTCTTCCATGGGAAGCAGGAGTAGCCTCATTTGCTGCCACAGAGAAATCCTGTCAGCCCTGTGGCAGGAAATAACGTTAAAAGTATAAAGTAGTTTGAGCAGCACATTGGCATCGTTATGGCCTGAGTCTTTTAGCCCTCAAACAGCCTCCCCCCGTTTATTTAGGTCTTTAATTGCTTGTGCTTTCCAGCATGTCAGTTCTGTTCGTGTTTTCGTAGGTTTTGGTTGCTTCATCGATTGACCAGTCGGTCAGTTGTTTGTGCTACTGGGGATGAAACCCAGAGCTCCAGAGGTACCCAAAGTACATCCCCAGCTGAAATTCATTATTTTAAAACAATATAATTTTGGTGTGCACAAATTCATTGATAGTATGTGGAGAAATTAATGTTGTCTATTATTGTGTATCTTGTGATTCTCTTGAACTTCCTGGCTTCAGAGTTTGAGGGGTTCAGCTACTGATTTCTCAGGCATGGGAATAACCACACCCATGGAGTGGGTGTACCTGGCCAGGCATGTGCAGGACCCTTTTGCTGTTGTGCAAATATTACTATGTTGAGGTCCTCTCGTATCTGTATTCATGTATGTTCTATTTGGGTCTTCTCTTTGCCTGGCCCATTTCCACCTCAGCCCCATCTTTTAGGGGATAACTTCCTTTCTTCCCCCACATGGCCTGTGAATGCCTTCAGCCTTTCTCCTGAGCTCTCAGCTATTTTGAGTAGCTCGGCCCTGGCCCCCCTCATTCTCTTTCTTCCCAGTGCTGGGGATGGAACCAGAGCCTCCTCCGTGTTGTCTGTCTCTCCACCCCAGTGCTGTGCCCCCCCCCCCAGGTTTCCTGCCTTTTTATCTTCCCTCTTCTTTCTTACTTTTTGTCTCCTGTGTATTTTTAGAACAGACCTTTGGTTTCCCTGTGCTTCTGAACCCAGCAAGGCTTTCTCCTGAGAATGCTGCTGCGGCTGAGCGGGCCACGGCTCTCTTCACAGACGCCCGCTTGTGTGTGCAACCTTTGGGGACTGTGCCCATGTCACTTTGCTGACTCTGTTGTTCCTCCCTGTTCTATGAATCCTGTGCAGGAAACCTGCAGTCACCCAGGACAGCAGAACTCCTCTTTGTCAGGAGCTGGCACCTTGCTGAGCCATGGCCTGGCAGTCTCTGGAAGAGCCGGCTTGCCACAC